GTCATTATTATTTACCATGTGCTTTTTGTAGTATTGATGAAAATAGGATGACCCCTAGTGTCATTACATTTCATTGGTTGAAAGTGATAGGTAGGTTAAGACTTGTATTAGGGTATAGAGTATTGCTCTATTCTTAATACAGTTTTATAAGATTCGAAAAATTTTATGATACACTGTATTAAGAGTGTATACACAGTAAGATTTTGTTTTATAATACAAATCTTATAATACAAATCTTACCGTGTATACTGGCCTTAAAGAGATATCAAATCGTAAAAATCCAATGTACAGTTGTCAGTCAGGCGGAACGAACCTCAGTTTAAGCACACTTTCTCCGAGGACAAGAATAACTCACTATGTGTTACTCAATAGAGGTATTCTTGGCGACATTGAGCTGTGATGAATTTCAATTGTATATATTCCTTAGAATTTAATCACATTGATATTGGCTTGATAAATGCACTCCCTTGGATTTCATAAAGGCCTATTTAATTTGAACACTTTAATGACATGTTTTGATATTTCCACAGATAAGTAGCCTAGACATAAGGAATAGAATTTTCGAGACATTAGACATTAACTTTATGCATAATGAGAAGTAAAGGCAAATAATAATTATTACACTTGGAGAAAACAAACTCAGAAAATCAATGAAAGGGTTCCTCCTACGTCTACTCACTGAAATAAAGATTTAGGAAAAACAAACTGTTTTATGTATTCAGCCTAATGTCATTAATCAGAACGGAAATCGACAAGCTTTTTGTAGAGGAAAAAACCAAGCCCGGTCCTATAGGTCAGATCCCTATTTATAATAAAGTGATCCTTACACAATCCGTTATCTTGGGTTGTATAATTCAGTCTCTTAGTTTAAACAATTCTTTCCCTCGGAATGTAAACCCTTCCCATGATTTCATTAATATTATTTATCTGTACATATCTGATATGGTAATACATATTTAATGAATAGAATATTGTAGTAGTTTACATCCTACCTTTTATTACATATTACGGTTCAAAATGAGAAAAATACATGAGCATTTTCAAATCCATATGCAAGTACTGATATTTGTACCAAAAAAAAACTTAAAGCTTTTTGTGTTAGTGTACATGTATATTAGAATAATTGAAACTCCTAAATAGTAAAAGTGAATATGGGTCCTGTGTAATTATAATATTTCTAAAATAAATATATGTAGAATTAGTTATAAAATTGGTTCGAAACGACCGGCTGCTGAAGCAAAAAAAAAATGGAACGCACTAATTAATTAAAATGGTTGGATGTATCTGTACATATATGTAATGAAATTTGAGAGCACAGATTGCAAAAATCATAACACTGGTGTTGTAACAAATCGAGATCTCGAATTTTTAATCTGTGAAAATGAATTATGTGATTCGAGACCTCATTATGAATCGAGTGTGTGAATTAGTAATACGTGGGATCGGATTGTGTAATTCGAGATCTCCAATAAATTTTTACTTTTTTGAAATTGACGTGTCCCTTCATGGCTTTCCTAGCAATATAATTAAAATTATATCTTTCATCTGCTCTCCGATCTTTTATATGTTGCGATAGCATAAACAGAGGTCTGGCTTTAGTCAGATTGCCAAATATGCTATTTGTTTTAGTTCAGTAATTTAACGTTAAAGATGAAGGTTTACTACAAGGCTTTTGAATTATCAGTCCTGTTTCATACTGGGATATTTTACTTGAAAAAGACACTTATGGTAGTCTAACAACCAAGCTTTAGGATAAACGTGATGACTTTAATTTTTTATCGTCAACATCCCTTACTTATGCAGCAATATACCTTCATCGCCTGCATACGGAGTATATATATCTCAATTGATTCGATACGCAAGAGCATGCTCTATGTATGAACAATATCTAAAACGAGGTAAGTTATTGACAAGCAAGTTGATGAAACTAGAATATAAGCAGTCTCGTTTAAAGTCATCATTTCGTAAGTTCTATGGTCGATACAATGACCTTGTCAGCAAATATATATAATTTATCATTGAGACAAATGCTGATTGACGTTTTTCATACCAATTGTAAGTCCATTATTTATACACTGAATTGACCTGATCCCACCGCTAATGTTTCGGGGGTCCATGTTTCCTATGCACTTATTCTTGTATTGTTTTATGGACTTTGAGACTGAATACTGTTCGTTATCTCCATATCCTTATCCTGATATATTGACTTAACAATATCATTTAACTACTTGAATCACATAATAAATACAATTTGTATTTTAAAAGGAAACTCATATCAATGTAGTAATTTTAGCATTCCTAGTAATAAATATAAATTCACATATCTGTTTCAAAATATTCAAATCTTTTACGGGAGAGAAGCTGATCACGTGTACTTGACAGCAAATAATAATGTCTTGGACAAGTTAAAGAATTTCCTACAGTCTTACAGAGAAATGACAGTTGATAAAATGGTGGACACAAAGTAAAAGTGCTCTTCAACATTTTGTGGAAGATTTAATCAGTCTGATTTGAAATTCATCTTGCAATATTTCTGCATTTATATATTTGGATATAAACGTCACATTTTCAACTTAATGACTAAACAGTTTTTCGTTAAATATTGCCAACACCATCTGTTATTATTATTTCCCTACAAGATAACATGTTATGTCTTTATTGTACCCCTTAAAGGTACTTGGACACAGATTTGAAGTTAATATTTTCCCTTTAATATTAAGACTTACATGTATATAGTTTAATACCATTTTACACAAAAAATAATAATTATTAAAATGTAATTTCATTTAAAAGTTATTAAAAACTTTAATTGTTTTTGGCGGGTTTGATTGACACATCCTTACTCTTTCACAAATTGTAATTTTATTCTTAATCCTTAGGAAAAGTGGCAGTCTTGTTGTGTATTAATGAAAAATATTAATACTATAATCCAGAAAATTCAGATTAGACATGCTCGAAAGCAAAACAAGCACACAATATATTGTCAGTCCGTGCAATAGTGTTGAGTAGACTTTGGCGATTTAACGCACTCGGCGAATCGTAAACACCAAAAAACAACAGAGCTCTGTCCTGTTTACAAAACCTGTATACATAACACGAGTGTGCTCGATTTGCTAAACTCTGTACACAGCGGAATGACAATACTACTGAAGGGGATTTGCTTTCTAACATTTCTACTCTGAATAAAATTAATTTTCTGGATTTAAGATTTAATATTTCTCATTAATACACAACAAGATTGCAACTTCTCCTGTGGATTATGAATAAAGTTAAAATTTGTGAAAGTACAAGAATGTCTCAAATCAAACCCACCAAAAAATTAAAAGTTTTATTAATTTTTAAATGTAACAAGTTTTTCAATAAATTTTTGTGTGAAATGCTATAAAATATATAATTCGTGATATTCTACAGAATATATTTACTTCAAATCTGTGTCCAAGTACCTTTAAGCTCTCAGTCTGTTATTCCAGAAAAATCTTGTAATAAAATCATTCAGTTTATTTTTTCTTGTTAGATTAAATCCATGAAAATAAAGGTTATTTTTAATGGTATCAAGAGAATGAATTTTTTGTTTAACAAAAAAGATAGTATATATATTTTGATAGCATGATATGCTAGGGGTTTGTAAGAAGGATATGGAGATGGAGATAAGCAGACCAATTTCTTTGCTTGCAAATTTTGTCGTTCGCCATTTTTATTACGTCAACTACACGTGTATTAGATGATTTATCCATAATTGAATCATTTCAAAATAGATATTTACTTATAATTTGAAGCAGAATTCTGTTCTGAAATGACCTTGCCCCCATAAGAACAAGAATGTAAAGGTCAATTTTTAATACAAAAATGTTCTTTTATTTTTATTGCCCATATCTTACATGCAAAATGATAATCATGAAAAATAAACAAAATGGCTAGAATGTGTCGAGAAAGTGAAATAACAAACATGTATAGCCAAGTAAATTAAAAAAGTTGTTGCTTAGAAACCACTTAAATGTCATTAAACAGATATTTGAACTAAAATGATGCATGGATATTGCAGTTCTTATCCCTTCTTGAGAGTATATGAAGAATTTTCTATTTCAGCATCCATTATGTAAAATTATAGCAAGAATATTGAAAAGAGTTTAAAAATTGATGAAATTTTTGCACTTATTTGACCTTTGACCTCCTATAAATAGTTCTAATGAAGTCAAACTTTTTAGACAATTTATCTGCTGTTCGTCCCTTGTACTTTGATGACCTAACATCTAAATTTTATATGTGCTGGGATGCAAAAAAGGTATCTAGGATGAGTAATAAACGAAAATTCCTCAATGAAAATTTAAAAATTCTGTGTTGCTAAGCAACCGATTTTAAGTAGTTATATGCAGAATTGAAAAAAAAGTTCAAAATGTGTTTTATATAGTAGAGTATATATCACAAATTTCCTATTTCAACATAATCACATCGTCGAAAACCATAGTAAATATTAAGCTTGAAGATAAAAAATTATTTTTAAAAAATCCATAAAATTATGCACTTAATTGACCTTTGACTTCCATTTTTAATAACAAGGTCAGTCGTTGAGTATCTGAATAGTCATTAAATATCATCTCTAGGAAAATCCCTACAAAATGGTATGCATTATACCTACCTTTCTCCTTGAATAAAAAAAATTAAAAATGATTCAATAATGCCATGTCCAAAATCACGTTAAATGTACCGGTAGAAAAAGGGTTAAACAAACTTGGATGATAATATTCTACCAAATTTTGTCGTAAAAGGCGACTAAATGGGGCGGTCCTTCGGATGAGACCGTATAAACCGAGGCCCCGTGTCACAGCAGGTGTGGCATGATAAAAATCCCTCCCTGCTCAAAGGCCTAAAGTGCCGAGCATAGGTCTAAATTTGTAGCCCTTCACCGGCAATGGTGACGTCTCTATATCAGTGAAATATTCTGGAGAGGGACGTCAAACTGTATACAATCAATCAATTCTACCAAATTGAATTCACGGATCCTGAATTGAACCATGTATATCATTTTCAGCTGATATTGCTAAATGTGTTTTTTACACCAAATAGGTGTGTACGGTGCCTTTTATAAAAGCGCCACACATCAAGCAGTTCTTGACTGACGGTGCACAGTCAGTACAAGTGCAGAGATGTCCACAGGGTAGAAACACCACGGATACGAGTTGTATGGAACATTTCCGGCAGTTGGTCGACTTCCGTAACTCTTCGTTCTCTTTTCGAATCAAATTTCTCTGGAGCTCAGCTTCTGTTTATAAATTTTGTTAAAAGTGATGAAAAATATTTCATTCGTTTTATATAGAAAAACTATTCAAAATAAAAGAAAATACAGACCTTTCTTTTCAACATCATCGCAAACAACTGTCCCATCTTCCAAATCGAAAATTATGTTGAGAAGTTCTGTTGCAGATAAAGGCGCATTTTCTATGGAAATATTAATATATACGTTTAGATTATTCAACATTCCCTGCATTTTTAAAGAAATTTACCTGAATTATAAAATACTTTAATCTTTCTGCTGAAAATAGAAATCAACTGTTTATAAATGAGATGTACCTGGAATTTACGTCTAGTTTCATGTCTTCTCGGAGACAATGTGTGACCTGTTAATCATGTTTGAGATCTCTTCTTTACGTGCATTATCAATACTCATACCGGTATATTATACAATTACTGCTGTATTTTTTGGTCAATACAATGATTAAGTCATCTGAGGAGTACAATATTTACCGAGCCCGAACAGCAATAATTGTTTTATTATAGAATTTATTGATAAAATGATACAGCTCATTACTTGATTGCATTTTATTAAGTCCTAGCCAACTAAAGAGAAAACCAGAATTAAAATGTATAAATAAACCTTACCAGTCATATCAATTTGAAATGTTTTTATCAAATTAAGTTGCCATAAAAAATGTAATGTCTTTATATAGGAAATATTTTGAAATGAAGGAGTGCATATTATCAGGGAAAACTGACAGCCAAAAGTAAAAATTGTAGTTCAGTAAAAGTGTTAAAGGGGGGTCCCAGCGTCCCCTCTGTCACCACCCTCGTCCAAAGATATACATTTGCTTAATATGTTTTGTTCATATAATATAAAGACATAGTCTTTAAATAGCTTTCCAATAGAATTTGCATCAATTTGGAATTTTTCGATCTATTTTTAGATCAATGTAGAGGAAATAAATCTTTGTATTCACCTGGAACGTCACGTGCAGGTCAGTACAACGTAGTATTTTTCTAATATAGTTGGATCTCAGCCAATCAGAGAGATGGAAATTATTCTATCATATAAGAAAAAGTTTTCATCATCAAAAATTATTTTATCTCAATACGATAGAGATCCAGATGTTAGCAATGTACTTAAACTTGGGTGATAATATTCCATTAAATAGAATCAAATTTACCCCTAGGATATCTTACTTAAAAAATACGTTAATGGTAATGTAACAAGCAAGCTCTATGATAAACGTGATGACTTTAACTTTGTTATCGTCAACTTCCCTTTCTTATGCAGTAATATGCCTGCATACGGATTTTATAGTTGATTCGATACGCAACAACAAGCTCTACGTATGAACAATTTCTAAAACGAGGTAACATACTGACAAACAAGTAGATGAAACAAGAATATCAGCAGTCTCATCCAAAGTCATTATTTCGTAAGCTCTATGGTCTTGTCGGTAATTACAATTTATCATTGAATCAAATGCTGACTGACGATTTTATACTAATTATTAGTCCATTATTTATACACTGAATTGACAAAGGATTTTTCCGTTATTTCCCAATCATAACAATACGTAATATTGCGAGTACCTCGCAGTTATCCAACTTTCTACTGTTCTTTTGCGAGGAAGACTAGAAAGCTCTAGATTTTGGGGTCGCATGACATTGTTTACAGTAGTATCAATCAGACAATTAAATCAGTTGTTAATGCAGAAAGTACAATGTATTGCCAAGAATTGGACTCCAAATTGAAGATTTTCAAATGAAGAAAGTTAATAATGTTTTTTCAGCTCTAAAATGTGATAATTTTCAATTAATATTTAATGAGAAGAGACCGCTTCGTTAAAAATATTGTTAAAAACATAACATTTTAGAAATAGCTCTTCTCAAAAACTAATTAGCCTGCCGCGGCGATTTTTTAAGCAAGGTATTCCACCAGGATTTTTTTTACTTATCTGTCCTTATAATCTCTACAATGACCGTAGCTACAGATCTATAGCTCTCCGAAAAATATATTGAAAGATCAGAGAGCTACAGTGCCACCCACTGAAAAAACTGTATATTTATTAGGCACAAAAAAGTGCGCTCGGTTCTTGATTAATTCTTCCAAGTTCTAACCTCAATTGCATTAAAGGCTAGATTAAAAGATCCTTATACCTCTATCAAGTACTCTCGTAGTTGACATCTGAACAAAGCATGTTGGACCGAATTATCTTTGAAACCAAAATGGCAGTATAAATGGACGAAATTTTCAGGGCCAGAGGGACTACTAACAACAATAATGTGAAATGTTTGGTCGTGGGAACAGTGAAAGAATATGTTAGAAACACACGGTTAGTATCATTTTGAAATGACAGTTTTAAAAACATGGAGAAATAAATCGAGACAGCTTTTTTTAGCGTTATATATATATAGTTTTTTTCAACGGGTGGTACTGTAGCTCTCCGGTCTATCAATTAATTTTTCGGAGAGCTACAGAACTGCAGCTACAATGACCGATATTGCATTGTATTCAACAAACGTTTCCTACCTTCATCGCGAAAGAGTTCTGCAAGTTGGGTAATCGCGATATCAAGTATTAGGAGCACACAGCGGGTGTGACCGGTCAGCAGGGGATGCTCACTCCTACATGGCACCTGATCTCACCTCTGATATTTCGGAGGTTCACTCCTATTTTGTATTGTTTTGTGGATTTTGATATTGAATTCTGTTCGTTATCCTTCACTCTAGTTACAATTCTAAAAAAGTATAGTTTTGTTTGTAAGACTTCAGTAATGTCTGTTCAATAATGTTTCATGACGTCCGACAACGTCATTTTTTTTAAGGTCTGTTTCTTCTATATCGTACACTTATTTTGATGAGATTTCCTAGCGTTGAGTAAGGACTCAACCCGTCTTGTTTTGACGATTTTACAATGTCAAGAACAGCAGCTTTCAAAGCACATATAATTGCAAATAAATTTATACGTTGGGATAGATCCTCGCTTGACTGTGCTAGCATATTTGCTTTTTGGAGTTCAATATACTTAAAATACATGATCAACGTCATTATTTGACGTGATAGATTTTTCAAGCCTTGACTAAAATTCGACATTAACTTTGCATCCTTTGCATAAGTAAATATTTGAAAATTCATAGATTTACCTACAGCGGTTTTAATTTCATAGCGCTAGTCTACGAACTTTTTGATAGCCCCTCGTATATCTTTTACGAATTCTAGTACCAGAAGTATGAATCACAAACCTACAACACAGGATTCAGTTTTAACACAATAAAGATTTTCATATATATGCAATTACCCCCTCTCTGGTTACGAAAAATGAATATGGCTTTATGAACCATTTTCTTCCCGTATCCGTTCTGAAGTAAACTTTCAACTGCTGGATTATTCCAAGTGTCATTTTCAGTATCTACAAAAAGTCATTCCTTTAGAAAATGGAAATTTAGAAGCAATTACCATTGGGGAATAAGGATTTTTAACATTGAAACTTTAATTATAATTAATTGTTTACGGCTGTTTTGATAAACTTTATTGATCAAAATTACAAGTATTGCTATCGTTTTTTTTCAACAAAAATCATGTTATCAATCATATAGCAGATTCCCAGATATTTGGCATTTGCAAACTGTTTCTTTAATTTTTTCTTATATCGTCTTACGAAATCTGTATCTTAATTAAATTAAGAGTAGGATATGGAGATAACGAACTGTATTCTGTCTCAAAGTCCATAAAACAACACAAAAATAAGGCAGAGCAAACACAGACCCCCGAAACATCAGAGGTGGGATCAGGTGCCATGGAGGAGTAAGCTTCTCCTGCTGACCGGTCACACCCGCCGTGTGCTCCTGGTCATAATCAGGAAATAACGGAAAAAATTCAGTGTATAAATAATGGACTAACAATTGGTATGAAAAACATCAATCAGCATTTGACTCAATGATAAATTGTATTTGCTGACATGGTCATTGTATCAACCGTAGAACTTACGAAATGATGACTTTAAACGAGACCGCTTATATTCTTGTTTCATCAACTTGTTTGTCGAAAATTTACCTCGTTTTAGAAATTGTTAATACGTAGAGCATGCTCTTACGTATCGAATCAACTAAGATATATATACTCCGTATGCAGGTGATTAAGGTATATTGCTGCATAAGTAAGGGATGTTGACGATAGAAAAGTTAAAGTCATAAAGTTTATCATATAGCTTGGTTGGTAGATTACCATTTTGTGTCTTTTTCAAATAATATATAAAATAATATGTCGAGTATGATAACAAAACAATACCTACTTCTATCAGCTGGTCGATTTTGCGACTCTTGTACAGCTTGCGTTTTCTCAGCAATAAACTGTTAAACATAGAAGATATAATGAGTATATCAAATACATGTAAAGTATCTATATGACTTTGTTACAATGATTCTGGATATCACAAACACATATTCAATTTCCGTATATAATACTGCTAGGGAGAGAGCTAAAATAGGCTTTGCCTGCTGCCCGATCCCATTTACCTCATGTGAATAAAATTTTGTATATATTTAATAAACATTATACTATAAATCTTCTTCTCCTTTATCTAAAATTATTCAATAACGATCTAAAAATATTATAAATGCAAAGAAATAGCCATAACATATTGAAAATCCCATAGGAACAAACTGTGCCTTTTTATTAGCAGACCTATTTTGTATTCATTAAAGCAGAATACGTGTAAAATCTTATGTGTGAAAAGATTAAAAATCTTGCTGTGGTCTTCAACTCGCCGTTTAAATAATAGACGACGTACTGTAAATTAACAATGGTAATTTCCATTCTTATGTCGACACGATATATCCTGGTAAGTATGAGATAAAGATATCACGGAGTATGACACATCTGTTTCATACTTGAATATTTTACTCGAAAAGACGTTAATGGACTCTGATCCTCAGCCAGGAAGGACAACTCTTTATAATATAATTAAAATCAAAAAGTATAAAAATGAAGCTCGAAAATTAAATTTTTTTCATGCAACAATTTTCATTATGTACCTGTCAATGTGTTTCAAGGTTCTTTCTTAGAAAGGTCATTATATGTATAAAAACTGGAATTCCTTCAAAAGCCTGGATACCTATGATTTTCATTTTTAAAATGTGTTAATTAATCAAATTTGAATTAGAAAATGCATAGCAGTTTGATTTTTTTTTCCGTAAATCAGGAACAACATACTTAAGATTTATTAATTTTCTCTATGTAATATAATTAACTTGAAAGACGAAGTTTGGGGTATTATCATGGGTAAAAACACTTTACTTTGAAAATTCAGATACATTTTTGTGAGCATTTTCAATTAGTTAAGGCTTGATTTTTATAACCTGAGGATCGGAGTACCTTCTTGGTTACATTACATGCAAGCTTTATGTTAAACGTCATGTCTTTTCAATCGTAAACTTCCCTTACTTATGCAGCAATGTACCTTCATCACATGCATATGAAGTTTATATACCCCAGTTGATTCCATACGCAAGTACATGCTCTAAGTATGAAGAATTTCTAAAACAAAGAAAATCATTGACAAACAGGTTGAAGAAACAAGAATATCAGCAGTTTTGTTCAAAATGATTACTCTGTAAGTTTTATACTCGATATGGCCCTGTCAGAAAATACAATTTATCATTTAGTCAAATTCTGATTCACGTTTTACATACTGATTGTTAGTCTATCATTTATACACTAAGAATTTTACGGATTTCTCTTTTATTTCCAGACCATGACAAGGAGCACAAGGCTGTTTTAACGGTCGACAGGGGATGCTCACTCCTCTATGACCCCTGGTCCCTTCTCTGATGTTTTGGAGGACTGTGTTGTGGTGGCTCTACTCCTATTCTATATGATCTTAAATACTGTTCGTTATCTCCGTATGTTTCATTTAGATAAATTTTCTTTTCATTTAAGTTTCTAGAGACTGAAACATTATGTTGTAATTTTACATTGAGATGTATGATAAAATTTGTTTCTTTTCGTTATATATTTTTAATTTTTCTGCTTGAACTTAATACATTATTTAGAACATGATATTTTACCTGAACCGGATCCGTGTCACGTAACTGCTCTAAACGAACAAAGTCTTTTCCCTTCGTATTGAGAAGATAAGGACATTCAGGCGACCAGCGCGCATGCTCACCCCAGGGCGTGTCCTCATCTTCCCAGTTTCTGAGACCTTGTCCACAATCAAAACAGAACACGGCGTCCGAATTTTCTACAAAAAATATACATCATTATTTGAAAAATAGTTATTGTTTATTCATAGACTGTGGATTTTACATCGAGCTCGACTTAACTAGGATTATTTTTATTCATTAAAATGTCTTATAGCATAATCAAAAGATTTGTAACAAATTATTAAATAGCTGGTCACCTGAATAAAAGAACCCGGCCTCTGCTAGATCTTCGGGTCTTTGGTTGCAGCTCATTGGCCAATTTTGGAAAGTTTTCAGACGAACATCTTTGATTGCAAATTGTTGGAATTTTGGCTTATTGATATTGATACCATACTCTTTAGCGATGTCTCTGGCCATGTCAGGTGGCTGAATTTGATTTGAAAAGTTGTCACCTCCTGTTGCTGCAATTGGAATATCATTGACGAATAGGTTATTTGTCAGTTGGTGGTCGTCGGTCACATTCCAATCCATTGGCTCCTGGGGAGTAGCCATTTCAAGATCTTGAATTGTGCTGATGTTGTTGTTTTTTGAGTTGTTTTAATTTACAGAAAGGTATAAATATTTCAGGTTTTGCAATTTCTGTATCAGAATGAGATAAATGTTAATACTTTTTCTATATAAGCTATACAGGGTGAGGTCAAGAGTAAATTCTGTTAAATAAAAGTTGTCTTTCACTTAAATTCAAAGTTTCGTCGATGACAATGACGCAGTCAACGATAAAATGTCATTGATCACTTTTCATCAGGCGAATATCGTCGACGACGTTTGACATTCCCAGGATGAGAGAATTCTGAGCGTAGGTTTTGTCCGTGAACCGGTATCCGAGAAGACTGTATCAATAGCAACATAGAAAAAACTTCTACCTCTGAAAAGACACCACAGATCGACATAAGATAAAGGATTTGAGTAGAAGACATAAACGAGACGAACCTGCAATGAAAGAAGAATTTAAAGGGAATCATATACACTAAGTAATTGTAAAACCAATTGAAGCGGTTCCGCTATTTGCATGATTCATAGGTACATGATATCCCGTATAGTTACACAATGTCCCTGTTAAAAGACACTATACAATTTAAAGTTCTTAAATATGGCAACTTACTGTTTTGGAATGTTCAATAATTCAATGTTTCGTCGTGCTAAATATAAACATTGGTTTTATATTATCAGGAAGTAAAAATATATTTTGACCTTTCATGAGACATAAAGATTTTTAACTCAAAATAAATTCACTTACTTAATTTGAAGGCTAACATAAAATTTGAAGCATAAAAAAGCCAAACCAATTCTAAAATAAAAATATAAAAAGTTAAAATTACAGGTTCGTTTTGTTAAGGGAGAGTAATCAAATATGTTATCTTGTTAACTGTCAGGCACCTCTTACCTGTAGAATTTGAACCTTAAATTTCCATTACTAGTAATAAATTAACAACCGAGGGGGGCTGTACATATCATATAAATCAATAACTATAGAAAATAATAGAAATTTAACATACTAGTAACATAAATGTAACCTCTGGCAACCATGTTATGTAATTTAAATTTAGAAATAGGAATTCCAACCTCTTTACATTGACTGGTATCCACTTCTAGATATGTATATATTTTTAACATATGGACATTTTTTAATGAATTGCCATATCCACAAATGCCTGAAGACTGATAAAATTAAAGCACATACATCGTATTAACTTTTTCCTGATGTATCTCGTATCTTTAAAGAGTAGACATATTTTTAATCTAGGTTTGCAGGGAAAGGTTGCTCAAGTGATATTCATATGATTTATAACGTTCATGTGAATATCATGTGTATTTCATAAAACTTTTTTCATGCTCATGTGAATCAAGTATGTTTTGCACGATATGCATGTTATATATGATTGATGTGCATGTACACGTAATATCTTATATATGAAAGTATTGTCAAAATTCATAGCATAGAGTGGTAGCATATTTCTGTTCCCTACAATGTAAGCTACATTGTACTTGTAATCTTTGTTTGCATGTTGAAATATTTGTATATACATGCGGCTTATTTATGTCATTATACAAAATAATTTAAATAATCTAATTTTAATGCTGATAACTTACCTACAAACGTCAATATAAGACATTTCGTAGAAGGAAGCTACTACAGGAATATGTTGACATGCGACTTATTTATGTCAACATACAGCATAGTATTATGTAGTCGTGCAACTTTTTTATGTCAACATGCAAAACTATTTTATAGACACATGCAAGTTCTTTATAATAATATGCAAGATATTTATATTGACATGCAAATTATTACCCTACTTGTGACATAAATATCTTGCTTGTTTTAACATGATTTACATCAATAAGTCGCATGTTTACAAGAATGAGTTGAATGTAAAAAGAAATATCTTTAAACAGCATTTCCAAAAAAATCATGTTGCATGTTAGCCTAAATAATTCATATGACATAATAATACTATTACATCTTACATGAACTTTCATCTTACCGGCGAAATAAACAACTAAGTTTACCAATATCTAAATCGAAATCGATAAAGATTGTTAAATAACATGTCGGTATAATTTTCTTGTATGTATACATAATTGTCGTGAATGTTGGCATATTTTTCTTGCATGTTCACATGATTACTACATAATTGTATATAGGGACAGAAAATATGCCACCATCAAAATAGCATAGATAATTTTATTTGGTTTTCGTCTCTTTCTCGTGCTAAGAATCCACATGGAATTCATGTAATTTTGCCTGTGTATACTAAGAATGATGCAAAAAAATAAAAATACCTAAATCTGTTTGAATTTTTTGCACAGACGTTTTCAACGCTACTTTTCAAAATATTTTCAAGGTCAAGACGAGTTTTTGCCACTTTCTGCTGCATTCTGAAATTGTAAAATCTGTAATCTCATTTGGCATTTGTAATAAATGTTCTACACACACACACACACACACACACACCCTCACACGCACACTCACACACCCTCTTTTATATTTCACATGCTGTAGAACAGAGCTGCAAATGTGCTTCAGGTTCACATGAACCGAATTGTTCATCAGTTTCAGTACGTATTTAAGGTAGTACAAAACACCCCTGGATTCTATTTTTACTTATTTCTTAAAAAATACTAGAGAAAAAAAAAGAATAATATTACTACATTGTCAACAATGAATGACCCCTGTAAAAAAAATAACAAGTTTTTGCTCGATTGCGTCATAGTTTGTGAAAAAAATCAGAGAATCCTATATGTTGGTCAATTGGGAGTTTACATTTTGGAATGTTTCCGCTATCTAAGTGCAATAAACAAGCATGTAACAGTCTGATATAAAATGCAGTGTTACTTTTGTTCAATAAATAGTAGAGGGCTGATATTTGGACACACATGTAAGGAGTATCTGTTCTTTGTGTACTATAAAGGTCAAGGTCATATCAAGAGGTCAACGGTCAAATATTGTGACGTCATCTACTGAATCTTTAGTTTTTTTACCATTTAATTTTTTTTAATCGCCAAAATATCAGAAAGTACTGGTTCAATTTTCTTTATTTTTACACATTTCATTTTTATCATTCTGTTCATTTTTAGCAAAAATTTAATTATACATTTTTCTTTAGAAAACTTTAAGTGTAGGATATTTATATGTGAATTTTCAATTCCGACGCTATTTATGTTCTATTTTTACTCAGTATTTCTCTCAAATGGTCCAGTATCAATTATTAGAATTATAACACAAACTTGCAATAGATCAATTGATAATTATAAAATAAGGCTCATTCTCAAGTCGAGTGTCTGATTTTACAATCTTCTTACAGGAGTCTGATAGCCCATATTTCAGACCATGTGGGCAAAATATGTGCGGTTGAATTTCTTTCATATTACAATGTATATATTAAAGGTACTTGGACACAGATTTGAAGTTATTATTTTCTCTATAATATTAAGATATTATATTCACACAAAAATTAATTAAAAATCTTATTTCGTTTAAAAGATATTGAAATTTCAAATTTTTCGGCGGGTTTGATTGACATTTCTTGCACTCTCACAAATTTAATTCTATTCTTAATCCTTAGGAAAAGTGGCAATCTCGTTTTGTATAAATGAGAATTTATAAATACTATAATCCAGAAAATTCAGAGTAGACATTTCTTTTACCAGTAGTCTTACCGGATAGAGCTTCTATACCAAAACTTAGGAAAATCTTATCTGCAAATCTTCTAATGTTGTCTATGGAATAGAATGTAATCTGTGTGGACTTGTTTATGTTGGTGAAACCAAGCGATCGCTTAACAAAAGAATATCAGGTAATCGATTTCAAATAAGATAGGGATGCTCAAAAATTCAAAAGAAATTTTGGACAATTTGAAATCACAAGATTTTACCAAAATTAACAGCTTAAAAAAGTTACCATCTTATGACTTTATACACAACCATTTCGCACGATAAATTAAAGTCCAGGCTTTTGATACCATTAGCATCTGCTTTTTCAATAAATATGGAACTCGTAGATTTACTTCCTTAGTCATTGGTCATTTGCAAATAATGGCCATTTCTGAATATATTCAATTGAATCGTTTAATGGACATTTGACCTTCAAGGTATATGGAGACATTCTGAAAATTTTCAAATTTATTTCCCATTTCTTAAATATTTGCAAGAAAGATATGGAGATAACGAATAGTATGCAGTCTCAAAGTCCATAAAACAATACAAAATAAGAGCAGATCAAACACGGACCCCCGAAACATCAGGTGACATGGAGGAGTAAGCATCCCCTACCGACCGGTCACATAATATTTAATAAAGGCATTTTTAATGATTATCAAAAGTTTAAATTTAAGATGTCGAGATACAAGACAGATATAGAGCTCCAAATTTTTGTTATATAAAAAGATTAATTATATGTACTTATATATGTTCGTTCAAAGCAGATTTTTCAATTGATAAGTGAATGTTTAATACCATTAGACATTTTCTAGTGATTTATATATATTAGTGATCTACAGTGTATATATGAAAACAAAACAAGTTGAGACCCTTGTGCTTACACAGTGAAGACTTTTATGTTCTGTATCTTCTTTTAAACCTACAAATGACTTTCAATCTTTTCCTGATCACTTAAATTGCCTTATTTAGGAATTGTACACAGTAAAATTGGTTGTTAAAATCAGTTGAAACTCTGTTCATACTCCTTCAAGGACTGTTCATTTTCTCATAGTTCATGCAGTGGTTGGGTTATTAAAATACCGGGTAAGTATATGTCATGTAATGTAATGTAATTTATTTTTCTTAAGTAATTGAAAGAATTTGTAATTGAGTTTGCTTTCAATTACGTCATTGCAACTTTAAACGTGCACTTGCATTTTTTGTAAAGGACATACTAGTTTTACTAATATCGCAGATAAAAACAGAAATGTTTTAACAAAGACTAATAGACAGAGTAGAATAATCCTCAAAGGCGAAATGAGAATCATCGGTGTATGAAAACTTTGTCTATC